TCGAAGGGCTTCACAGAAATTGGTTGCCAAATATTTTGACCCGTATCCGGTGGTCAAGAAGATAAATGAGGTCGCATATCGACTTCAGTTACCAGCAGACGCAAGGGTTCATCCGACATTTCATGTCTCCTTGCTAAAACCCTATATTGGTGTGGTTCCACCTGCGGAAATAGCGAGTCCGCCCTTAACATCGGATGGAGAGCTGCAACTACTTCTGGCTGCAATCCTGGAGTCTCGGCGGCAACAACGTGGATGGAAGGAGATCGTGGAGCTGCTGGTACAGTGGCAGCATTTGCCACCAGAAGATGCGACTTGGGAATTAGAGCAGGAGCTTCGAGATCGTTTTACATATTTCAACCTTGGGGACAAGGTTGTTGTTCAAGAGGTGGGGGATGTTACGAGAGCGGAGGACGGGGCCGAGGAGGATAGTCAGCCGCGACGTTCGAAGAGATTTCCCAAACCCAATCCGAAATACTTTTAGTCTCATTACCGGCTTAGGAGAGTATATTGTCTTTTCTGTTTATGTTGAGGACTTGCTTTCATTGTCTTGGTTGTTTTATGATTACGTAACTGTTATAAGTAGGAGTTGGTTGAATGAGGAGATATGTTGAAAACCCCAAAGTACTTGTTCTTAGTTTATTCGTTGTTATTTATCTTATTTCCCTTCAGCATTACGTTCTTTTGCCCTAGAATTCTAGCCCCTATGCCACATCACCGTAAATTACATATGTATGTGTTCTTTTTTAAATTCTTACCATTGAATAAAAAATAATTTATTATAGATATCATCTCATAGTCAACTCAATCCAATACAAGTACACAATAACAGCATTCTACCGTAATATTTGATTAAGAAAGTATACGTGAAAAAGAGATTCAACAACAATTACTCAACTTATAAACCAACATGGAAGGTCAAATGTTACTGATTATTGTCGAGCTAATGTGCACAAGTCCAACTTTGTAATGTACTTCTTCTAAAACCCTTCCTTGAAAGTATTCCCATTAGAACTTAAGTCACTATTACAACTAGGGTAGACAAGGGATATTGCAGGCCTTCAAACATTTCATTATTTTCGGCCTATGCTTGTGACTCGTCGATGCGTATTACTTTATGTCCTAACTATGAGGATGGTTATAATCGGTTAGTAGGTTACTAATGTTTAACCCTCGATTAGTAATTAGCTAAATTTGGCTATAGAGAACCAACCATTTAATTTTTAATCAATTATCGGTATTACCGTTAACCACCTGTTCCGGTTTGGTTATCGGATACACCGCTAATAGGATAACCGTTTACCAGCACTAGTTTTGTGTATATTGGGAATTGAACTTTGGCCTTCAAATAGTTCAACAAATGTAGCTCTGCCTCAAGAGTTTTTGGCTTTCAAATAGCTCAATATGGATAATAATTTCTCTTTATAATTTCAACCAGAATGTTAATAGTTATACTTATACTCGCATTATATAAGTGAAAAAAAATACATTAATAAATTACTGTAACAAAGAAAATGAGTTAAAACAATATAATTTCATAAAAATATTAAATGTATGATAAATATTAAATCTCTTGAAAAAATAATTATCATTTAAACAAAATACATATGAATGTGTATAATCGGACGGATTCAGTTGGATAATGAAAAAACTATGCCCTCCTATCATCTGCAATATTCGAATTCAAATTTTATCACACACCAATAAGTTGAATTCGAACGGATATCCATGAGTATGGTTATGTTATTCATCCCTACAACCAACTAGGGGAGGGAACGTTGGATCCAGAACAGACCATATATACGGTTTGTGGTCCAAAACGAGAGGTTAGAACACAGATCATGAACAATACCGTATACTATACGGTCCAGAGCAGACCAAGCCTGCACGGTGCGGTCCAGTACAGTCTGGACCAGGCAAATCATGTTGAACAAAATTTTACTCTTCTTTATCCCTCCGATCCTCCTCAGTATCCATAAGAAAAAAAAAATAGTGTTCAATATCCTAGTGAAACAAAAATTTGGTGACCATAATTATTAATTAACTAGTGAAGAAATATGAGGGGAGAAGTGGACTTTTTCGAATTTTTATTCTCGCTCCAGTCTCCACTACTCTATCTCATATCCATTTAAATAAAATACATAACAAATAACTTTGTCTCCCTCTTCATCTTTGTGCTATCGCTTCTCTTCCTCTCACAGGTAGTCCGGAAGATTCTCATACTCAATCCCCATTGCAACGACGTCGAGATTGTGATGAACAATTAGGTTGGTCGCTTCACTCGCCATAATTTCTCATATCTTACTCATGTAAATAAATCTTATTTTGCATTTCTATATCATCGACTCTGAATCCTAGACATGGCTGGTGGAGATGATTTTTCCATCTTTTCTTGTTTTCGCATGGTTCTTTCATTAGGAGATAACGCAAAAGGGATCACTTAAACAGTCTTTTGCTTTTCAGTTAGATGAAAAATCAATAGATTTGTTATGCTTGTAATGAGGACGAGGGTAGATCACGAGAGAAGAGCTTGTGGGGATCGTCCATGGGCTCTAAGCTGCTAGGGAGATGGGAATTCAGAAGTTGGAGGTACAGACCGACTCGGCAATGGTGCTACAATTAATTGTAGAGGCGGGGGAACATCAACCTCACCTTATTTTGGTTCGCGAGGCTAGGAGGCTCTTGAATCTGGACTGGCAAGTTCGAATGTTGCACATTTATCGGGAAGGAAACACCGTTGTTGATTACTTGGCTAGCGTAGGGCATGGTCTCATGCCGGGAAACCACTCTATAGACAATCATTGTTCTGAGTTGAACTACTGGCTGTATTTCGATTTGGTTGGGGTTCAGACCCCTCATTTGGTCGTTAATAATTAAGAGTTGGGGCGCCCCTAGTGATACGTATTCTACCCAAAAAAATCTAATAGTACGAAGATCAGATTGTTTGCTCACCATGGTTAGATTGATCGGGCTTGGCTAGTTCTTCGAAACAAAGAAATAGATATTTAAGGGGTCGTTGGGTTTTGGTGATTGTTTGGTTGGGATAGTTACAATGCATTTTTTTTTTCTGCGCAATTTTTGCTTGATTTGACACAAACTATCACTCAAAATGAGTGATAGTTAAATCTCAACTTTTGGTTGAGATTGTTGAGATTGTTTGTTTGAGATTGTTGGGTCTTTTTCTTCTTCCAACTATGTCTCTACCTTTTCATGTGTGTTGCATTTTTATATTTAAAACAAAGGGTAAAAGTGACATTTCACCCAAAAAGGAATATAACTTATTTAAATACTACAATAACTATCATAGAAACCAAACGATGTAAACTACAATACCCCAATTTTCTTATATACATGTATATTATTATGCATGCATTGACAACAATACATGTTATTTTTGCTTGGATTAGTGAGTAGTGGGTCACAGTTTGGTCCCGCCTTTGTCCCAAAAAAACATTGTTTGCTACCCCCAAACGAGCAATTTTTCGATTCAGCAAAACTTTATACGATCATAACGTTATGCTCTGTAACCAGAACGTCATAAAAAAATTGATTTTGCATAACGTTTGAAGGACTACAAGTTTTACAAGGAAGAAATTTTATTAAAACATTATGCAGAATAAAAAAAATTCAATACAATCAGATAACCGAGCACAAAGTTACGTTTGTTTGAAGTTTTGGCCTAGGTTAGACATTTAAAAAAAAAAATATGTGCAAAGTGCGGGGGTGCATAAGATTGGAAAAAATCCCACTGTACACATGTTTTTAAAAAAAATTCTCAAAATACACATGTTATGAAAAAAATTCCCAATCTACGCATGTTTGGGCCTTCACCGCGTCAGACTAAGGCGGTGATTGCTTCACCGCGTTAAAGAAGCGCGGTGATTGCATCACCGCGTTAAACAAAAACGGTGATTGCATCACCGCTGTAGTAAAAAACGGTGATAGCTTCACCGCATTCAACGGCCGCGGTGAAGGCCTGACCTGCGTCGAATCTTTAAAAAAACGTAACTTTGTGCTCGGTTATCCGATCGTGGTGAAATTTTTTTTGATTCCGCATAATTTTTCGAGATCTTGCAAGCCGCAAACCGCCGCCTTCGTCCCGAAAAAACGTCGTTTGCTACCCCGAACGAGCCTTTTTCGATTTCGTCAAACTTTGAACGACCATAACTTTGTGCTCCACAATCCGAAAATCATGATTTTTTTTTTGATTTTGCATAACTTTTTGAGGACTACAATTTTTATCATAGACATAATTTGGGAATGTACTTGGATTCCTAAAAAGGAAAGGTAAACTTATTCCCAAAACCCCGTATATCCAAAATAATCCATTTTTTGAAAACTCTCTCCTACTAAAAATTGTAGTCCTCAAAAAGTTATGACGCAGGTCAGGCCTTCACCGTTTTCCTCTAACGCGGTGATGCAATCACCGCCTTCCTCTACAGCGGTGATGCAATCACCGTTTTCCTCTAACGCGGTGATGCAATCACCGCTCTTCTTTAACACGGTGATTCAATCACCGCCTTGGTCAGACGCGGTGAAGGCCCAAACATGCGTAGTTTGGGAATTTTTTCATTAACATGTGTATTTTGAGAATTTTTTTAAAAAACATGTGTACAGTGGGATTTTTCCCCATAAGATTTTCGTTCCTACCGCCAATAGATCGCATGCGATGGACGCGGTGCGATTGGCCGTGGCCCCTTCACGCGGTTTTCATGCAAACCGCCATATGGGGCTGCAATTTTTGGAAAAGGATGGTAATTTTGAAAATTTTCGGAAATAAATGATATTTTTGGAATCTTTTAATTTTTGGGTGATATAGTTAGAAATTTCCATTATGGACCGGATCTTCTTCTGTGTGTTTTTTACTTTTTGTTTTCCACAATGACCCGGCCCAATACAATCCAAAGTCCAAACAACCAGCCAATTAGCCATACAGAAATGGCCCAAATGGACCAGAAAATAGCTGGAAAATAGCCAGACGAAAAGAAAACCAAAAGGGCAAAAGAAGGTATACGGTCCTCGATTTTCTCACAGAGAATCGCCCCCATCTCCATTCCCTCCTTTCCCCCTACATTCTCTCTGGTTCCCTCCTTCGTCACACTTGTCACCGTCCATGGGGACAGCCAAGGGATCCTTCTTCCTGTTGATTCAGCAGTCATCATAGCTCATTCAACTCAGCCGACTGAATCAGCTGCCGGCGGAGGAGGAGAAGGGAAAAGCTGAAGAGATCCCCAATTCCCCCAGCCCCCTCTCATGGATGACATCAACGACCTCTTTTTCTCCGCCCCTGCCGACGACCACCGTAATCACAGTCACGATGCCGCCGCCGCCGCCGCCGCCACCGATTCCTTCTCCTCCTACTCTTCCCCCAAAATCTTCGACCGATACTTCTCCTCCTCTTCCGACGACGAGGACGAGTCACGGCCGTCCAATTCCTCCTCTATGGAAGCTACCACCAAGCGCCTCGATTACATGATTCAGTTCCTCGATCGCAAGCTCTCTTCCAGCGACGAAGTTCACAGCCTCCGCAATTCACTCCCGCGCGACCTCAACCCGACCACCAGCAACAACAACCACCAATCGTCTACCTCATCGTCGTCAGCGGCGCTGCCGGAGTTCTGCGGCAGAGGAGGCGGCACCGGAATTTTCAGGCTCCCAGTCCGAGCCGCACTTCATCCGTCCCGTCCTCCTAGTCTTGAAGTTCGGCCACATCCTCTTAGGGAATCTCAAATTGGATGCTCCTTGCGGAACATTGTCACCTCCAGCTCTCAGCTGTGGGCGGGGAAGGAAGATGGGGCGCTCCAGGTCTGGCAGTTTCGCGATTTTTATGGAGGGACCGAGGATATTGCGCCGTGCAAGGAGTCTGCGGCGACGGGATCTGGGGTTGTTTGTTTGGTCGCCGACGAGGGTAGTCGGGTGATATGGAGTGGGCACAAGGATGGAAGGATTAAGTGCTGGAAAATGGATCTCGTTTCCAATGGTTTCAAGGAATGCCTGTCGTGGATTGCTCACAGAGGGCCTATTCTCTCCATGGTCATTACTTGCTACGGTTAGTGTAACTCGGTTATTCATATTATTATCTGCTCGTGATTTTTTCCCCGTATAGGTAACATTTCCTTGTTATATGATCAAGCTGTACCTTGGAAACTAAGTAATTGTTACTTTATATGATATGATATGATGAATAGATTTTGACAGTAAAACCTTTGTGGATGTCATGTCATTAATCTGAGAATGCCAAAGGAACAGATGAAAGTGTGATAGATGCCATTCATAGGTCCCTTGTCGTTAGACTTTATGGGATTCCTGATCTTGTTTGAGGGAAGAAATTCTTGGTAGTCATCACATCTGGGCTTGATTGTGTCTGATTTTTCATCATGTCTAGTGTTGTTCATAATCGGGTCATCTATCAGAAAGTTGGGCTTTACATTGTGATTTCACATCTGTAATTGGCCTGTGTTAGTTCAGGTGACTTATGGTCAGGTTCTGAGGGCGGTGCTATCAAGATATGGCCATGGGAAGCGATTGAAAAATCATTTTCCTTCACACCAGAAGAAAGGCATGTGGCTGCATTGGCGGTGGAGAGATCATATATTGACCTGCTGGGCCAAGTCAACCTGAATGGCTCGTCGAATGCATTAACTTCTGATGTCAAATACTTGCTATCCGACAATTCTAGAGCGAAAGTGTGGAGTGCTAGTTATCTGTCGTTTGCTCTATGGTATGGTTCTCAATATCTGTCGCTATGGAACTTGTCTTCGAGGAAGTGAAAACTATATCTTTCTTTGCAGTATGAAAACCAACTCTGTTTAACTAGCTTAGGTTCTCGCTCTTCTCTGTATCTGACAGAGATTTCCCTCTGTAGATCACGTAGGACTCCGGTGCGTTGACCACACTTTTTGGAGAAATCTGTTTGGTTTCAATTATATCATGTAGTACCTACTACCTAAAGCCACTGAATTCAATATCACCTTGCAAAATTTTCAGAGAGGGTATTAGCATTTCATCTTTGTGCAATCGATGAGTTGTTTGGATATCAGTTTAATCTTTTTTGTGTATATCCTTGAATAAATCACCGTTTCATGTTGCTGACAAAACAAAATCCTTCAAAACATTACTCTTTCATGTCTGTTTTAATAATAAAAGTGGTTTGGTATGTAGATTTTGGTTATGATTTAAACTTCTTGACCTCCACCTGGATCCTCAAGCAAGAGAAATATTTTCACTTTGAAAATTTTGGTTACTTTGCAGGGATGCTCATACAAGAGAGTTGCTTAAATTGTTCAATACAGATGGCCAGTTAGAGAGAATGGATATGCTACCAGGACAGGAGTTTATTGTTGAGGAAGATATCAAGATGAAAATTGTAGCTGGTTCCAAGAAAGAGAAGGTACAAAGCTCATTTGGTTTCTTCCAGCGTTCTAGGAATGCGATAACTGATGCTGTTCGTCGAGTTGCTGCAAAAGGTGGATTTGCAGACGATCGCAGAACTGAGGCACTAACGATGACGGTAGATGGAATGATCTGGACTGGCTGTACAAATGGCTTAGTTGTGCAGTGGGATGGGAATGGAAATCGGTTACAGGATTTTCAGTACCATTTTAGTGCTGTTCAATGCTTTTGTGCATTTGGGTCACGATTATGGGTAGGCTATGTTAGTGGTGTGATCCAGGTTCTGGACCTTGAGGGTAATCTACTTGGAGAGTGGGTAGCTCACAGTAGTACGGTGATTAAAATGGCTGTTGGTGCTGGTTATATTTTCTCTTTGGCTAATCATGGTGGCATCCGCGGATGGAATGTTATGGCTCCTGGACCTCTTGACAGTATACTGCGATCAGAATTGGCAGGAAAAGAATTCTTATATACAAGGATAGAGAATTTGAAAATTTTGACTGGTACATGGAATGTAGCAGAAGGAAGAGCTACCCGTGACTCACTTGTTTCATGGCTAGGTTGTGCAGCTGGGGATGCTGGGATAGTTGTTGTTGGGTTGCAAGAGGTTGAAATGGGAGCAGGAGCCCTTGCAATGTCTGCAGCAAAAGAAACCGTAAGGCGTCCTATTCTTTTATCTGCAATAAGTGCTATGTTCATGTTTCTTCTTTCCCATTGATAATATAAGCCATCTTATGTAGATTGTGTAAATCCTCTCTTTTGACGGCAGCAAAAGAAACTGTCATAAATTCTTAGTAACTAAGAACTGACAGGAGAATTTTCGAAGAGAACAATCTGAATAATACACAGGCTGATATGTTACTAGGGTTAACAAGAGCACAAGCCTCATGGACCTCTGGATGCCTACGATCAAAATATAGAGACGAGAAACTTGAGAAAGGAAAAACAGAACTACAAATGCTGCATCATACTAAGCTTAAGTTACAGTTCGTCTGCTTCTAGTTACGAGGCTTGAGCTCATCCAAGATCACATATGTGATCAAGCTCTCATGACTCCTGTACTATTCTATTTCTATGTGTCTTCTCATTTTCATTCAATTGTCTTCACTTTCTTCCGGTTTCAGGTAGGACTTGAAGGTAGCTCTGTTGGGCAGTGGTGGTTAGATATGATAGACAAAGTATTGGATGAAGGGTCAACATTTGAACGTGTTGGTAATAGGCAGCTCGCAGGCTTGCTTATCTCTGTATGGTTCGTATTCAAAACTACAGCTGAGCATACTTTTGGAAATATGGCTGTTTCACTGTAGTAGGCTGCTCGCTCCACTATGCTTTTGCCTGGGTAAACCTGCTCTTTGGATTTCTGTAAACTAATTGGATATTTGTGTCTCAGGGTTAGAAGTAATCTTAAACCCCATGTTGGAGATGTTGATGCTGCCGCTGTCCCATGTGGATTTGGGCGTGCAATTGGTAATAAGGTACATCTTACTCGTGTCGGTTATTTGGCCAAGTTGCCATCACCCAAATGAAATATTTTTTGTTGCTCTACCTTTTCTAATTATTCCCCTGCTTCTTGTCACATGTTTTCCTGTACAGGGAGCAGTCGGTTTGAGGATTAGAGTTTTTGATCGGATTATGTGTTTTGTAAATTGTCACTTTGCTGCACATCTAGAAGCTGTAGGGCGTCGTAATGCTGACTTTAACCATGTTTATCGGACGATGTCATTTGGCCGGCCGTCTAACCTCTTCAACACTACAGCAGCTGGTATGGTGCCGTTCCTGCTCTTGTCTTGCTCGATTGCCTGCTCAATGTGTTTATTTTGGCTTGTTCATAGATCTGGATTGCTATTGCTCCTTTCTGTTGCAGTTGGTACTTCATCTGCTGCCCAAATGCTTCGTGGTGCAAATGTATGTAAAACTCTTCTGTAATTTTTGCATAGTTTGCCATCCTAAGTTTTTGGGGGTTGGTTTCCATATTGTTCGAGGTCTAATGATGTTAAAAGCCCATGCAGGTTGTCAATGCCAACTCTTCAGAACCAATCCCGGAGCTATCTGAGGCAGATATGGTTGTCTTTCTTGGCGATTTTAACTATCGGTTGGATGGTATTTCTTATGATGAAGCAAGGGATTTTATTTCTCAAAGGTCTTTTGATTGGCTTAAAGAAAGGGATCAGCTACGAGCAGAAATGGAAGCTGGGAATATCTTCCAGGGAATGCGTGAAGCAGTCATTAGATTTCCCCCTACATACAAGTTTGAAAAGCACCAGCCTGGTTTAGCAGGTACGTAGACGCTGTACTCTTTGATTTCCAGCAACTGGTTGCTCTGAATCTTGTACTAGTTAAGCTCTACTTGATTGTTATGTGTCAGTATGGTCATTCCCCTATTATTGAACAACAAAAAGTTCTCTCACGACAGCAATTATTTTCTTTTGCGTTCATAATCACCTTAATTGCCAATTTTACTAGCGTCCCTGATGCCACTGTGCTTCTGTAGGATATGACTCTGGTGAAAAGAAGCGGATCCCTGCTTGGTGTGACAGAATACTTTTCCGTGACAACCGGTCAGCTGGAGTGTCTGAATGCAGCTTGGAGTGCCCTGTTGTCTGTTTTGTATCACAGTAAGTTCTCTTCCTGCCATTAAGGCTCTGTTTGGGGCAGATGAAACTGTTGTAAATTGAGCTTCTTGCTGGAGCAATTTTCTGTCTGAGGTAGACTCACGCTTTATGCTGTTATATAGGTATGATGCTTGCATGGATGTGACAGATAGTGATCACAAGCCTGTACGTTGCATCTTTAGTGTTGATGTTGCTCGAGTGGATGAGTCGGTGAGAAGGCAAGAACTTGGAGACATTATGAGCTCAAGTGTGGAAATCCGATCAATTCTCAAACAGCTATGCAAGATCCCAGAAGCAATTGTCAGCACAAATAACATAATCCTGCAAAATCAGGACAGAACCATTTTGCGGATAACAAACAAATCCAACCAACTTGACGCTCTGTATGAAATCATATGCGAGGGAGAGGCCACAGTTGACGAGGAAGGACAAGCTCGGGATCATCGTCCAAGAGGTTCTTTTGGGTTCCCTCAGTGGCTTCAGGTAAACAAACTAAACCATTCTTTGTCCCTTGTATCCTCCTGTTCCATTATAAGCACAGGCATTAGTCAATAGAGTACGACTGACATTCTTAGCAGTAAACCATTCTTTTTTCATGTTTTTTGGGGTTGATAATGCGGACGATTTTTAGTTAACCAGAAAACCGAAACTGGTTAGTCATCCTCTGTACACGGTGCATTCAACTTGTGACTTGAAACTGACATCGGATCTCTTTGTATAAATACCAGGTTGCCCCAGCATCAGGACTAATTAAACCGGGAAGCATTGCCGAGGTGTGGGTCCATCACGAAAACTTTCCCACGGTAGAGGAGTTTGTGGATGGCGTCCCTCAAAACTCGTGGTGTGAAGACGCCAGAGACAAGGAAGTCATCTTGGTCGTCCAAATAAGAGGCACTTACAGCACGACCGAGACGAGAACACATCGGATTCGTGTGCGCCATTGTTGTTCTGGCCAAGCATCACGAGGTGCGCGAAACGTCGATAAACCGGCACCGTCGGGGAGTCTTCTCCATCGGGCTGATTATCAAAATCTCAGCAGTTCGTACGATGTGGTCAACCACCTTCGGAAGTTGAATAGTCCGTAGCGGTTATATTAAGGGAAGGCATTTTATACTATGTATGGCCGAAATTCGTGATTATGTAAATATGGAAGAGCATAATTTTCACCGTTGCAGCAGCAATGCTCCTTTTTTCTTTTATCTTCTGCAGTCAGCTCTGCAAATCTGCAACGTTCTCTTCGGAATACAGATCGCCAGCTTGCTTTTCAACTACTGTATAGAACGTGTAACGATGTGGGATTATGTTGTGCTATTTTCAGTTTGAGTCTCCCACTTAATCAGGTGTGTATTCGCCCTATTTGGCACTATCACTATGCATTGAACAAAGAACTATGTAAGGCTCTCATCTTTGGCTCATCTCAATTTGGTTGTTTGTTCGACAATTTACTCATAGTGAGTGATTTCATACCGTGGGGTTTTGAGAATACATGGTTTCTGATAATTCTTCGGTCATTCTTTTGTCTTACTTTAGTACGAGGATCGTGATCCGCTTGATACTTTCAGAAACAAAAATTTTGGGTAAGACTTCCATTAGAGGGTAAAATGCATGAACATAACTTTATTAGCCACCCCTATAATGTATCCAACAAAAGCTCTAAATTTGTTGAAGAGGAAGAACAAAAAAAAAACAATGGAAGTCGCCTGAATTCACAACACAAAGGATATTTTTTTCTCAAACTGTCACAATCTTCATCTCGCAGCTGATAGGTCACTGACTCTCAAATCTGTGCTACTCTCTCAAGATTGAATTCAAATCCTTGACATGATCTTGCATCTTTTTTAGCTTGCCGCACCATGACTGTCTTGATGATCAAATTATCTTTCTTTGTTCTAAAATGAAAGACTTTCACCTCATCCTTTGCCGTTGTTGCATTGACAAGAAACACTGACAAGAATATAATCCACCATTGTACATCGACGAATTAATTGAGCAGATAGAATGGAAACCCAGCTGAGACAATTAAGTAGAACCCAATAGAAGGGGGTGAAAATCCAACTAACTTGATCGATGGAGTTCCCTTTCATGGCGAATTCTGATCATGTTGCCCTGTTGTAGTCGCTGCTGCAGAAGAGGGCTGCAGTGGTGGAGTGGGAGGGTTTCGCTGGCTCTGCGGCGGGAAAAGATGCAAACTCGCTATGCTTGCGCTGCTGGTGTATGGTGTGTCGTCGAGGGTGGAACACGTGTCGTCTTCCGGGGAATCAGTAGTCGTTGGAGTAGAATCTCGAGTGGAATCCGACCGCGTTGGGGAGTAGTCCTTTGTGCTGCAACCCGTGTCACTTTCCATTATGTGATTCAGTGCATATACCACCTGAAATGAAATAAACAAATGCGTGAATTCAGTAGCTAGTGACGAAGTCAGGATTTGAAACTCGATGGAGAGCCTGCGTCAGTAGAATGTAAACAGAAAAGCCATAGTAATATAAGAAGAGTATAATGTAGATAGGATGGAGTAGCGACCTTATCCATGGTCAATCTTTTCTTAGGATCCTTGCTCAGGCACTTCTCTGCCACTCTCACCATCCAGAACAGCTGATGAACATCGTGGGAATCCAGGATTCTCTGATCGATCAAGTCCGGGTAGTTCTTCTCTTTCAGCAATGGCCTCGCCTGCACGGATTATGCATAATAAGCATCACTAATATTTGTACTCTTTACTTCAGGTAGGGTTTTTGTTCTGTTTACGTACCCAACCCACAAGACTCTTTCCTCCAAGGCTCTTGTCAGTGGTCTTGAGCCCACTGATAAGCTGCAACAGCACAATCCCAAATGAATACACATCGGTCTTGGTCGACACTTTCCCGTACTCTGCATATTCTGGTGCCAAGTAGCCCAGTGTCCCCACTACATTCGTCTCCATCGAAAGCTCCCGGTCTTCATGCTGTGTTCTTGCCAGTCCGAAATCTCCTAGCTATCAAATTACATCCCAACACATGTCATCACAAGTCCACCAATCCTTTTATGGTTTTGCTAAGCAAATCTAGTCACATGCTAGAAGCTAGTTTGTTCTTCTCTACAATCAAGCAGAAATCAGATCCTAGACCTAGAGGTATTAGGTTCTGGCTATGACATACCAGAGCCTCGTAATCGTGGGTTATGAGGATGTTACTGGGCCTCATATCTCTATGAATGATGTTATTCTCATGCAAATACTGCAACCCTTTCGCAGCTCCAATCGCTATCTTCATCCTCATCTCCCAACTCAGCGGCCTTCGGGTATGTTCTGCACCAATTCATCCATTCCCACCAAATCACAAAACAGTTTCCCTGCATTACAGAGATCGAACTAGCTAAATGCACACTAGTAATTATTCTTACTCGACAGGTGCTGATCCAGAGAGCCATTGCAGACATACTCATAAACAAGCAATCGATGGCTTCCTTCAGCGCACGAGCCCAACAACATAACCAAATTCTCGTGCCGAACTCGACTCAGCACATCGACTTCAGACTTGAACTCCTTCTCGCCTTGCATACTAGCATTCTTATGCTGCTTCACAGCAATCTTGACCCCATTCAGCTCGCCTCTGAACACAGAACCAAACCCTCCTTCGGACAAGAAGTTCTTCATCGAAAACCCATCGGTGGCAGAGTGGATCTCCGTGTAAGTGAAGTCCCTTCTTCTGGGCCATCCCGTCTTGTTGGGCCGCTCGTTCTTGCATACTGTGCAGATCGGGTTCTTCAACGCGAAGACGACGACGGTGGCATCTTTTACTGGGCTGCTGTCTTCTGGATTCTTCTGTGGCTGATCATTGTGGTTTGCTTCTTCGGCCTCGTGATGGGTCGCTGATGTCGGCGGAGATGAATGCTTGTGTTTAGCTGTTTCGGGTTGTGAGGAGGTGGTTGATGATGGTGGTTTGTCTTTTTCCTGCAGGCTGGGATCTGAGGTAGATGATGATGCTGCTGCTGATGAAGAAGATGATGGTGGTGGTTTTGATCCGGCGGAACAGGAAGATTCGTAGTAGAGGCGAGCTGTGGTGGATGTTATGAGTGGTGTGCCGGGTGTATCAGAAAACAATGAGGTGAGAAGAGCCGACTTCCCTTGATTTCGATCTCGATCTTCTTCGTTTCCTGTTCTCAGAAAAACATTCTGGTATGAATGCCAGTTTTGTGCAGCTAGAAGGTCGACAGTGTTTGGAAATTTTAGGATTGAAATAAGGTGTAATTCTGTTTATCCCTAGATACTAGTCGCGCTAGCCGCTAGGCAGTGACAAACATATCGTTTAGGCTCTAGGCAGATAGTTAGACATTTATAGCGCCACTTAAGTAGTTAAGTAGAGCTCGACGCGATTAATTGATGGCGTGAGGCGTGATTAATCAAAGTGAGACATGTTTAAGCGTGTTGATAGAACAAGGATTAAAATAATTTTGTAGCTTATCTTTACAAAAGGATGTAATCTCCAGCTACCTCATATTCGACTTGAAATCTTTACCCTATTCTTTCACTATTGTCGACTATAGCCTATCCGAACCCAAGATTTTTATAAACTTGTGATTCTAGAAAATCATGACATAGTTTTTGCTTGGTGTTGTTGAGAGTTAGTATAGTTATTAATCATGAATAATTGATCACTTATTTACCATTCTCAGGACTTCCGGGGATCATTTCATCGTAAGTGACCTGCTGGCCTGCTTTGTCCTGATCACTGCCTTTTTCTGCAGATTTCCTTGGGACCATTCTTGGTTTGGGCTGTCTCAGTTCTTCGATGGTGTTGTTGCGCTTTATCCTTGAGATCCCGCATGATAGCTTCTCGGTGAAGTAAGTCTTGTCCTTCTTCATCTGCCTGCCATTAAAACACCGTTCCACCCATCAAATAATTTGTTCAGCCATTCTCTTCCCATCTTTCTCAAACCAGAAAAAAATACAGTACTGCTGGTTTTGGTTGTTCCAGATGATCGATCATGGTTGTTACTAGTCTCCGTTACCTGTCGAGTATCAGCCATGTCGGCTTTAGACTCTTTGCAGCTTTCATGGCGACCACCTTTGGAGTCGGCCCTGCATGGACCTCGATCCGGAACTCAATCTGATTGAGATGGATATATGTCAAACAGACTACTCATGGTTAAACTTCAAAGTTAGAAAGAAAGGAAAGAAACTGAAGAATGAAGGAAAAATGACTTGCCTGTTCCATTTGACAGAGCTTGGAAATAGTGATGATCTCTTCATTGTTAGTGTACTCATCTTTCTTCCTGGCAACTTCATCTGCAATCAACTTCGGGTTGATCCCAAACATCGAGCTCGAGTCCACCTTGATCTTGTACCCCACTGTGCCACAAACACAAACAGATAACAATCTCTTCATTTCTTTGTCATTCATCCATGTTAGATGCAGCAAGATAAAACCAGAAATGAGGGTTAACGTACTAGGATTAGTAACTTGGTGAAGGATTCCATAGAGGATGAGGACATCACCAGCCTTGAATGAGAACTGCTGAAGGACCAATCGAATCGATCCTGCCGGACTAACAACATCCCTCGAAGCATCGTCGATGATCACCACCCTTTGCCCTCCTCCCAACGACGACATGATCAATAATATGTGCTACTGATGTTACAGAAGGAAAATTGCAGCAGTGTGAGTGGTAATGTGAAGAAACCAGAGCTCTGGGGGAGACCAAGTGGCTTAAAAGGACATGTGGGTGAGAGAGAGGGGGTGAAGAATGTGATGGCGGGGAAATTTGAGGGAACCGTCTTAGTTAGCTAGGAGAAGGGAAGTGAATCTTATTAGCCTGCGGAGAAACATAGATGGAAGGAACAAGAATGATTGAACAGTGAAAAAGTATTTTTTTGCAGTTTCAGGCTGACAATTTCTATGCCATGAAAATGAATCTTTTTTCTCTTGTCTTTGTTTTGTTTCACAAAAGGTCGGATCATTTGGGTTTGAAGCATAAGCGGCGAATGGCGTGAGAGATTGTGAACGACAAGCGAATGACATAAGATTGCAACATGGAATTCGGAAGGTTTTCGTGTTTTAGTTCTGACGCTTCAGTATAACATGGCAGTTGATTTAAAGGAATGTATTTGACTAACACTCGAATTATCGGGAAAATTTGGTACTTGACAAGAGTGATGATCACAAAGCCATAGACAGGAGAGAAGTTAGTATGTTGTCTCTATGAACCCAGCAAGGAGGAAAGGTTTTCCACATTTTTCCCCCTGTCAGGAGTACAGCTTGGGCAGAGCTGGTGGATTTTTGGTATATTGTTGTTCTTGTCGTCTGAAAAGAAACCCTTTTGCACAATTTTTTCCCCCCAAGTTGTGCCTTCTCTGTCATTTATTTGTCATACAAAACCCATATGTAAGACTAAAGAGAGCAAAGTACATACAGAATGAGGGGATCCCTCTGTGCCATGTCCTTAGATTTTCCTGCTATGACAATAAGTGATTAAACCCTTTGGTTCACACCCATTTAACTTAAGCTGATGTTTTTTTCATAAGTATGAGAAAGTGTGTTAAGTTGTTCTTAGATAAAAATCAAAGTTTAGAGTTTTCTATTCATTAAGAGGTTTTTTAATACCAGATTTTTAAGGGTCATCTCCAAAAGAAACATATGACAATTTTTTAGTGATTTTCTTAATTTTATTTTCACTCATTTCTCCCTATTTCTGTCTTATCCAAAAAAAAAATTATTTCAGTCTTTTTTTTAATTTGATTTTACATTTTTGTTTATCGTTCTCGCTCGAGTTAGAATTTGAAGACAATAGTAAAACATGTCACCTCCATTGAAGAGGACACGAAAGTGGCTTCAAAACAGACGGAACTAAATGCTATGATCTTTCGCTTTTTTCTATGTTTTCGTTGATTTTAACATCTACTGCCTGTTAAAATCGTGTTGCAACCGTATTTAGATAACGGGAATAATTATTTTATTTTTTGCAAAGAGCTATCTCAAAATCTAAGACCTCATTGGTTATTGATTCCAATTTACTCTCATATTCATAAATGCAATGCTTTAATGAGAGTTTGACTCAATAATTTCAGCATGTTCTTACTAAATAGTATGTGGATACTCATAAATGCAATGCTTTTTTCTATGTTTTCGTTGATTTTAACATCGACTCCGTGCCTATTGAAATCGTATTGCAACCGTATTTAGATAACGGGAATAATTATTTTATTTTTTGCAAAGAGCTATCTCAAAATCTAAGACCTCATTGGTTATTGATTCCAATTTACTCTCATACTCATAAATGCAATGCTTTAATGAGAGTTTGACTCAATAATTTCAGCATAGTCTCATTGACAAACGAGCGCAAATTGATATGGAGTTCTCTTGTAAAATCTTTAAATCTATGTGGTTTCTTACGTTTTTGTAATTATCTCTTGTGCTTCGCAGCGACGGGTGGATCATAGCACTGAATATGTTGTACGAAAATCTTCAATTTTCACTGATTCAGAAAATCACATGTGCTCTCTGTACTGCTGCATGGTCAAAGAAAAACCTCAAAAACTGCAAAAAGAGAGGATGGGCATCTTTCTGTTTTGTCGATGGGAGCCCCCGAAAGCTTGCAAACAGCCAACACTGAACAAGACACACTTTCACATATAACTCCTCTACTTCTCCGACTTCGGCCAACCCTAATTGGGTTATGCTCTTATGACATTCCAAAACGAATTTTGGCCGCTTCTCGTTTCTCTCTTCATCTTTGTGTTTGTTTTCTACTCCCTTTCTTCTTTTTATTGGTAGATTTTGGGGAGCTTGGCTGAGTCTCCCAACAAAATCAAGCCCAGATCAGCAGTAATGCTCAATGTGACAGTTGATGAACCTAGACCTTTGTATGTGTAGGATGGCAATTTGAATCCGCCTCGTAACGTATTATCCGATCTAATCTGTGATGAAGTTGATATTATCAGGAACGCAATAGCATGGGGCGAGACATGCATATCTACTTTCGACCATGGTCCATGAAACTGTACCGTATCGGCGATTCAACCACGAAATACCAGTATCGGAGGCTAAATCGGTAGGCGATATTTAACAGTACAACGGTTGAACTAAGATAAAACCACGGTTTTACCATAAAATACCTTACCGCTGACTTTTCCGGTACGGTCTCCGGTATGATTTCATGGACCATGCTTTCGACCCACAATGTACCTCAATTTCTTACAATATCTATTCATATTTTCCTATTTTGATTTTTCCTCAACTAGTTAGAATTAATCTTCCAACTAGTTACACTCAATTACTTATCCAATTATCACAAAAGATTTCATTCATAAAATGTTTTCCCTTCGTTTTATCATAAAAAAATACAATTTTGTGTGCACTTGGAGCAGGGCATCATTAGGCACCACTCAACCCCACGATAAAATCAATGGATAATAAGAGCCCAAATTCATGGTTATCCAATCCGACCAACCCAGTCAAAATGGGTAAAACTCATAGTTGACGAGTTTTGAATTGGATGTGGGTATTCCCGCTTTTGGAAATTAGCGGTGCAAGGTATGTTGGATTTGGGTTTTGCCAAAACTCAACATGACTTTCCACCCAACTTAGGCATGGCAATGGGGCGGGTTTGTCTAAACCATCTCTATCCCAATCTTCAAATATCCAAACCCATACCCGCCCCATACCCATGCGGGAAATGTTTTGCAAACCCATCCTCATACCCGTGGGTTTCGGGTACCCATGGGTAATACCCATCCCCGTACATCCAAGATTATTATACCTAAAACTTACAAGAAAAGTTTTAATTATAACCATAAACAAACCTATTATATCATGAAGTCAACAAAACACGGTCATTTTCTAAATACGATTCAAAGAATATGATCCTAAAACATCCATTAATACATAATATAGACTACAATATTTTTTAAATTATTATGCTCTAACTCTTGATACATTTACTAAGTAATAATTAACTAACATAATCTTGTTGACAAAGGGGAAAGTGAAAGAGTGGAAGGAGAATTGAGAGAAATGAATTAGGTTTTGATTAAAGTGGTTACTCAATTGCATTTCTACTATTTATTTTCTCGAGTTTTCATCATCATCATTGATAGATTACAATTTAATCCACATATTTTTTGATATGTGAAGAAATTCTCTTGGTGGGGCGGGTATGGGTATGGGTATGGGACGGCGAAGGCTAAAACCACACCCGCCCCATACCCATCAAACTTTTTGCGAGTTTTACCCATACCCGCCCCATACCCGGTCAAAGCGGGGATTCCCCGCGTTGACTGAGTCAGGAGTGGTCGGGTACCCGCGACCATGGGTTTGATTGCCATCCCTACACCAACCCGCAACCATACATTAAATCGACATCAACCTCAACTCTCGACCCTAACCCAATCCACGATGACCGAGCTTGGTGCCCTTTACTAATTACAGTAACCATTAATAGATTCAGGGTATGCTACAAAAAGTAACAAACTATGACCACAAATGCGTTGATGACAGGAAACTAACGAGCCTCGTGGTATCAAATTCTCAGGAACGCCAGTTACATTTCAAACGGTACAAAGTTGTGCCTGGATCTCTAGGAACACAACCAAGTCAGAGGGCCTTCCCAAGTACAAAGCAATCCACTACAGAAACCAAAATGCTTTCAGGTAGAGAGCTGGAGACTAGGTTAACCCATAACCTAGTTGCTCCTACATGCTCGAACAAAGTATCAATTCACTTGCCCCTCAACACAACATAGTTGGATCCTCCGCCGGCAGTCTTCTGAATCCTGGATATTCTCTTCAGTATCTCAGCAAATGCCTGCTTATCCTGCACAAGTCGGAGAGTTAAACAGAGCCATAGCACGAATATCTGCCGAAACACACAGTTTCTAACGGTGGCAATGACTTTTTTTCTGGAGCGACCACAAAAAAAGATTACGGAATTCATAAACGAGATGAACCATGTTACCTGTGAATTTTTGAGACGCGATTTAAACCTGGCAACAAGTTCCTGTGTGGTGATAGGCGCAACCTCCAAGAGAACAGCCTTTATCTCTTCTTCAGTTACAGGGCCTGTCTCAGGCGCTGAGGAACTTGCTTTTGATGGAGGTGGTGCTCCTTTGGAAGTGGATGCACTAGTTTTGCTATTACTTGTGCTTTCTTCTTTGGCATTTGACTTTGGTTCCTACGGCACAACAGGAAAAAGCTCATAGTTAAAGCAGAGAGATGGCCCCGAGAATTAATAGTTGGATGTAAATCTTGATATGCGAGCTTAACAACTTACAGCTTCTGTCTTCACCTTCTTTGTATTCGACTCCTGACAGCCAACAAACAGGAAATCACAAACCCAGAGAACATAAATAAACCAGAGCTTGATATAGATTCGAAAGTTTCTAGGAGTGATATAACTTACTTCCGTCTTCACCTTCTTGGGAGTTGCGGTATTGGATGCCTTGGAATCATCAGCTTTTCTTTTCCCCTTTGTTGACTTGGAAGATGATGCATTTCCCTTAGAAGATCCCGCAGCTGTTGCTTTTGCTGGACTATTCTCAACTGGTTCCTCCTTAACAACCTCTTTCCGCTTGGGAGCCATTAGAGGGGAAATGTCATCTTCCATCTATTATAACCCACGATTAATGGCAAAACAAATCAATATACAAAAAGATCAAGCATATCCCATAAAAGAGGAAATTTATGGTCTTTGATCCCTTAAAGCTAAACAATGGCTGCATTAGCTAAACCAGATGAATTGTTATCATAATCAAAGAAGGTATGGAAAGGCCAAAAAAAAGTTCACAAATCACTCTAGTTCTTTCGACATGAATACTCATATGTGATGAAAACTCCAAAATCACAAGAAGGCCCTCTAAAATCCTTAGTTACTTAAAAAATAAAGTGGCAAGCAGACTAAAGAACATGTGAACATCCCCTTAAGCAATAAACACTTTTGGAAGAAATGATGAAGAGAAAAGAACGAAGAAAGTCAACAAAAACGTCTGTTGAAAAGTTAAATTAATTAAGCACAAAACTTACATCATCGTCATCGTCATCTTCTTCGCGATCAGAATCACTATTCCCAGCAGCTTTCCCAAGTAACTTCTTCAACTCTTTCCCAGACGAACTCAATTTTCCTTCCTCATTCTCATCGTCCTCGTCTTCATCATCCTGCCAGGAATTGTATTTCGACCATCTTATTGTGGCACATATGATAGAAACGGAACAGTGCGTATTTCAATTAAACAAACATGGTATCTGTCTCGTTAAGCAACAACGATAACAGATATGTTCAACTACTGAACTACATGCTTTCTTGAAAATAATGTAGCTAACAATCCCTGTTCCTTCAACTCCTGAAATGTTAGAAGCCCAGAAACTCCAAACGTACTGTGAAGGCCCAAACTATAGCAACTTTTGTCATTCTCGAGAGGAAAAGGATATGGAAAACGAAATAAAAGTGTACCGGGCATAGAGCACACGGCCAGGATAAGGATAACAGAGAGATAAACAAACTTAAACATCAGATAGCAAACCCAAAATTTTAATCTGCTCAGAGATGTGACGTCACTAATACTTTTGCTACCTCCACACAAAGCAAAAATGAGTCTTCAATACCACTGCTAGCAAAATGCCATTAAAACTTTTATTACCTAGGAAGCACCGTATAGCAGTGGCACCCATAACAGCTATTCATAGAGAGGAAAGCCAGGCTAAAGATGAACCAAGGGATAAAGAACGGAAAGTTCATATGTTGATAAAAATCTTTGGTATCTCACGTACAGGTAGAATGGTTTCATGCCCCACCGATAAAACACCATTAGAAGATTAAGTACTTTGGAAACATGATATGCTTGAAGTACAATGGAAAAGAAAAGATAGCAGTGTTGCCTGTAACAGCAAGACAGGGAATAATCACTTGAAACCCCCATAAAAAAGCAGAAAGAATTAAGTCCATTTCAGGTCGCATTCATTGAAATTGTTGAAATGTCAGATATGGGAAAGGAGAAAATAGACGGTCTAAACCGAAAGCTGTTTACTTAGTTCTATCCCGTAGATTAAGAAAGATTGAGTTAGGTAGCAACTTCAAAGGATAGAATTATTTTTAAGAAATTGAGTTAATACAGTTCAGCAACAATCATTCCGACTATTGGATTTAATACATACCTGTTTGATTTCTGGAGGAGCGGGGGCCAATTCTTCTGGTAATTCATGATCACTTCCAACCGCCTCATCATCATCAGTAAATATTTCTTCATGCTCCCAATCATCACCTACGACAAATGATATACATTCTTGAGACAGAATCTTCTGACTCTTCCAATTTGAGAGCAAGAATGTTATTAAGAAGCCCCAAATCTTGCAGCAATACACATGAAAATGCTCACCCTTCTCAATATCATCATCATCCATGTCATGGTCACCTCCCCGTCCACCTTCTTCATCGTCATCACCACCTCTTTTGTTTAGTCCGAGCCTATTTTTCCTAGAAGCTTCTTCTTCCTCATCTTCCTCTCCCTTATCGGATACATTGCCTTCCTCATTGTCCCCAGATGCTTTTTTTCGCCCTTTGGGCCCAGCTGGACCATCATCTTTCTCATCAAAACTTCCCTTTTCCCCAAAAGCAGCCGGTCCATTGTTTGCTGCTTTCATCATCCATCTTTCATATCCATCTGCTGTCTTTCTTCTGTTCTTCATCTTCTCCTCTGCTTCCTCCAGAGTCAGTTGCTTATATTGTGCAACCTTGTTAAAGTTGTACCTGTCCAAATTACGAGGTTGACAACGGAATGGAGCAGAAATGATGAACAAAGGAAAATGAGTATTCGAAAGTGCATAGGTCAAACAACATGTTAGCAAAATTTGCAATAAGAAGCATATACCAGGAACCAGCAGGAATAGCAGCAAACTCTTTCCCTTGCACCATTAACAGATAATAAGTCACCGACTGTGAGCCTTCCATGTGGCCGTGAAAACGGTGTTGGCCAGTTTCATCTTCCAACAGCCAGGGTTTATTCTTGTACCTCTCCTATGAAAGGAAGGCCAAAAATAAGCCACAATGGGAATTCTTTTTCAAGAGAGCTCAAGGAGATACAGTATCGTAGGCCATTAATGAGACAAAGCTCGAAAACTGATAGTTACCCTCAAAGACTCTGACAGCATGCGCCCTTGCAGTCCTTCCTTATGAAGAGACCATTTATTCTCAGCACTTTTCTTCTTCGAAAAACTTGGTAGCCCACCCATGAATCTACCAATGAAATAGTTCTTGTCGTTGTTGGGACTAGCCCGAACATTGTATTCCTGCAGAAAAGAGAAGCAATCGGGCATTACACGGTAATCCAGCTTCTTGGGGTGGAAAGGAAATGCATTGCCATGGTAGGAAGAATATCATTATCCCAAATCAAGTTCTTAAACACCATTTTGTACTGTAAACAAAATTCCCCCTACTGAAACAAGGCTAATAAGTTTTCGCTCGATTGGCAAGGCAATTAGAGTTTCCACCGTCAACCAAACCGACTAAACTGACTGCACAAACGTCGACCTCAGGCGAAGAGAGGGAAGCCTAACAAATCGCGGGAAGAAGAGGAACGACAAGAAAAGGAGCCAAAAATTACTCGTATCAAGCGAGTAACGGTAGCGCCACAGTCGTAGCACTTGGCCCCAGACTCCGCCATTTTTTTGCCACAGTCCAAGCACAGCGTCATGTGCTTACAATTGCTCCCGTAAAGATTCGCGGTGGACCCGCACCTGCACGACGGCTTCAGAACCAGATCGATCGCCATCCGTTCACCCTCCCGCCTCGGGCCTAAAGAGAGCTAAACAGAAACGACCACAGAAACTCGCTCGTGTTCAGTTCAGCTGATTGCCTCCACAACACATGAGAGACACGAAATCGATCGAGGAAGCCCGAGAATTGTGAGTAATCCCGCGGTTGAAACCCTAGAGTATCAGGGCAGAGAAATGTGAGAGATAGATCGTTCAAATTTCTGGTTCTGGAGCGGCTGTAGTTATGATCTCAAAATAGGTATGGTTTTTCTCGGCATCGATTTTAGACGATTGAGCCGGACTGCCGGAGGGATGGTGCGGAACAGAGGGAGGAATCAGAATTGTGAATTGTGAATTGTGAATTGTGAATTGCGATTGTACTAAATAGGAAAATCGAGAAGAGCCAATGAACGTGTGGTGGAGGGAGAAAGCAAAAGCCGAAAGTACCCCTGCCGCCGGTCAATATTACTATGGTGCTAACAAAGTTGTCAAATCGATTACACCGTTGCATAGATTTAGCTAGGTTAGGGCTGCAAACGAGTCGAATTTGTGCTTAGTTTGAGCTCGGCTTATTTATAAAATTTTCAGCTCAAACTTAGCTCGAACTCGAATTTTGATAATCTATCTCGAGCTCGGCTTGAATCAAAATAATTTAGCTCGAGCTCGACTTGATAGAGCTCGGTAAATGCTCATTAACACGGCTTGCGAAGCTTAGTACGAGTTTAGCTCATGATAAACTCGATTTGAAATCATTCTTTTTGAAAAATGTGTAAACACAATAATTTATATGATAAAAAGAACACTAGAAACTAAAAGTAACAGCCAACTTCCGTACACATCCATATTAACAAGATAATGTTTATGTTTAGAAGATCAATTAATGCTTTCACAAGCTCTAAACAAGTCAGCTCGCGATTTTAGCTCAACAAGCCACCGAGTCAAACTAGATCGCGAACTTATCGAGCTGAGCATGGTCTAGCTCAAGCTTGACTCGTTACTATCGAGTCGGCTTGCGAGCCAGCTTGTTGAGTAACAAGCCGAGTGTCGAACGAGTTTTTTCTATTCGAAAGTCGAGTTGCTTGCGAGCAGCTTGGCTCATTTGGAGCCCTAGCTAGGGGGTGGTAATCGGTCGGTTACTTATTAAACTGGTAACCGGTTAGTCTGTTATTAGTATATCGTTTAGTTTCACACGACTGCCGACTAACGTTACCGGGAGGAAATTGATTAACCGGATACCTTGTTAAAGGTTAACAATCGGTTAACCGCCTCATATCTGTCTTCGTCGCCGCCCACCTTTCTCTTTTTTTGTGCAAATCCGCCCACCTCTCTCTAATCGCCCCTACCATCCGCTCATCTTCTTCGTCGTGCAATCCACCTCCATCGGGCTTTTATTGTTTGTTTCTCGCTCTCATCTCCCTCTTCCTGTCAAGAATCTTTGCCCTCACCTCGTCCCTTTGCAGCGGCAACATCAGTGGAAGCGGGAAGCCCTATTGTCTCTGCATCCATACCGATCAAATCCAGCGGAACAAAAAATCGATATATCTGGGGTCCAGGTCGGTGGTGGGTTGTCGGATGTTGTTGAGGTTGACCTGGGTATGGTGCATATCGCCTGATGAGCTGCGGTGGTTCAATGGAGGTGGGTGAGGAGGTTGTTGATTCTGATTTGGAGCGAGGTCGCGACTCGTGAGGCGACAAAGGAGACTCAGTTGGGTCCATCGTGAGTGAGACTTTGCCTGGTTGTTGGGGCATCGCCGAGATCCCGAAAATCAACACCGACTTCCGCCACAGCGTCTCCCTCGCCTTCCTCCTCACTTGGGTCGCCAGGTGGGTTATCTCTCCCCTATCCCCTCTTGTGTTCAATTCGATTGAAACTCTAATGATTTAGAAACCCAGGTAATGGTTTCTTTCTGGGTAGAAGAAGAACGACGGTGGAGACGGAGACTTCGCAGGGAAAGAAGAATACAGGCTGGACAACGCGTTCCCACCATCGTTCTCCAATTTCGTGCTCTGACCTCTTCGACGTCATCACGGCCTGATACAATAAAGAAGGGGAGAAGAAGTCTCAAGTGGCGAATCTTCAATCCAACATATTCTCATTCAATTTGGGATTTTCAATTTTGGTTTGCTGCTCCCCTTTACCTCCGATTTGGGTTAATTTTAATTTGGGGATTTCTGTTGATTGGAAGGTGAGAAAGATGGGGAAGAAAATAATATAGGGTTTTGTCGTTCTGGGTTTTGTAGAATTGTTCGCTAGTGGCAGAGGGGAAGGGAGAAGAGAAGACGGAGATGGGTTCGGCATGGCGTGAGGGTGGCAGAGGAAGGCAGGTTGGTGTCTGGTGGTAATCAATAGGTAGATTTCGGATATCCGGTATATCGGATAACCGCCAGTAACTTACTGAGAAGGAGTCGGTATACCGTGTGGTGTTTTGTGGCTACCACCAACCGGTACAGCCAGTTAACAGTTTTATCGATAACCGCTGGTTACCAGTTTGGTTGTCGATTAAACCATTAATCGGTTAGTGGATTTATTGGTTAGGGCTGTTTGCCATATTCTTTCCTTCCGCTTCTGGCTTTCTACTTAACTTAATAGATTGATTTGCCCATCTCCCCTAATTTCACCTAGGTATGCCAATGTTCACTCGATCAGAGCTGTTTTTCCTTTTCTCAATGAGTCTTTGTCCTCTTAGCTCTTAGCTTTCGTCGATTACCAGGCTTAGGGTTAGCAAGTGGTATTGTTCGACTGGTGTTACAATCGGTTCGTGTCGGTTCATATTGGTTTAATAGAATATGTAAAAACATAAAAATCATTAACATCATATAAATTTATGCAAACTTTTATGCTTAATCCAACAAATCATATAAACATTTAGCTATTAAATTCATGAAATAAATCACAAATTATTTTCTTTATCAATTAAATTCACTAAAACGGAGTCATTTTGTGTATAGGTCGAATCAATCATGCCACCTGTCATAAACCAACTGGTCCCAATAACTCAAGTTGTTGGGAGAGGCCCAGGTTTGGTCTTAACACTTCCTTACACGCCCTCTCAAACGAAAGCCGACTCATGGGGTTGAAGTTGACACAGACCCGTCATACCATGTGCTTGAAGACAACGATAATATTAGGAGTCGTGAGAACTTGAACACGTGACCTCAAGAACAAACTAGCTCTGATACCATGTCATAAACCAACTGGGCCCAATAACTAGAGTTTTTGGGAGAGGCCCATGTATGGTACTTAACCACTTCCTTACAATACCGGTGAGGGCCAGGATTCGTTGTTGTTTAGAAATGGCTTGGGTAAAAGGAAGTGGATCTCAGCCAGCTCTGATACCATGTCATAAATCAACTGGACCCAATAACTAGAGATGTTGGGAGAGACCCATGTATGGTACTTAACCACTTCCTTACAATACTGGTGAGGGCCAGGATTAATTGTTGTTTAGGAATGGCTTGGGTAAAAGGAAACAGAGCTTAGCTCAACCCCTAGCCAAACCAAGCAAGTTATTATTAAATTACGGTTGGTACTCATTAGGGCTGCAAATGAGCTGAGCTGGTCACGAGAAGTTCAACGTTTGTCTCAGAAAAAATCGTTTGAAAATCGACTCGTGTACTAATGAGGTGAGCTTGAACTAAGTCTTGATCAGCTCATGAGTCTCGTGAACTAGCTCGACTCGGTGGCTTGTTGAGCTCAACTCGTGAGTGGACTCGTTTAGAACTCATGATATGTCTCAACATTGTGGCTATAGAGTCACCTCGACTACCAACTTATGAGCGAATCCATCTTGATCTTATGAGTTGGAAATTGATAATGCATACGATTGTTAAATTATATATCGCATCCTATATGATGTTTAAGACATTGAGTATGTGAGCAAATATCTCTTACTATTAATTTTAAAAATAAATCATGTATCATAATTATTTCGATATTATGAAATAACATGATTTCGACTAGTAATTTATGAACTAAATAATATGACACTTAACAGAGTTTAACATGACAATAGGTAATGATGAAAATTTGATTGTTATTCATTTTTCACCAAGATTTTGACTAGTAATTTATGAACTAAATAATATGACACTTAACAGAGTTTAACATGACATTAGTTAATGATGAAAATTTGATTGTTATTCATTTTTCATCAAGACTTCAATCACATGTATCATACATGATATACAAAATAAATATATCAAATGTGAGCCAAAATCTTAGTAAATGAGACTAACTCGACCTCGAGGATAATGTTCGGCTCGAATGATCTCATTTGCAACCCTATTTCCCATTTACCCCACAATAAAGAGAAACTAAGCATCACTCCTGCCGATGTTTCTCTTTTCCCTACCAAACGTTTCTCTATTTCTTTTCATTCTCTCTCCTCAAGGCAAACAAATTTGAAAGACGAGAGGTCCTGAAATTTGAAATACGGGATTTCAATTTTCATCTTTATATCTGTTTTGGTGTCATGGTCATAAATTTATTTTGAAAACATCCATTAATCCATAAGACAAAATACAACTAAATAATAATAACTAACATAATCTTGTTAAAAAAGAGAAAGAAGTAAAGGAATGAAAAGACAATTGTGGGAAATTAATTAGCTTTGATTTAGTTGACCACTCAATTACATTTCAATTTTTTTTAATTACCCTTCTTTTGATTGAGAGGTTACAATTGGACCTTTCTATTTTTTTATTAATTTATATATGTAGAAATACTCTTTGTAGAGAGAGTATAAGTATGGCTATGGGATGTGGAGTCTAAAATCATACACACCTCATCCCATTAGACTTTTTGAGGGTTTTACCTATACCCAATAAATATGGGGATTCCCCCGTGTTGACTAGGTCGGCAGTAGTCAGATACATGTCCTACGATTGCGGATTTGATTGTCATCCCTAATTGGAGTATACTCTAGTACTGCTCATAATTCATTGTCAGTGTATGAAATATGATTTGTACCTAATATTGAATATGAATATAACTGATGCTGAAATTTGAGTTTGTCTGACATTGAATATGAGTTGAGCTGACACTAGGACGATGTTTAAGAATCGGCAGATGAGACCTTCAACTCGAATTCTTGGCAGAAAGAGAAGAATGATTAGAGAGGGAGAGAAACAAATGCCACTAGTCTTTTTTTATTTCAAAGTAGAGTTCCAGACCTTTCGTCGTGGTTGGTCACACAACATACGAACCCCTTCGAAAACCTGGAAGAATAAATAGAGAATAATGTTGGCCTTCTTCTGCATAGGTTCTTTATCTTTCTTGTTTCAAATTTGGAGAGGAGGAAAAGAGAAACGAAAGAGAGAGTTGAGAGGTTATTTCCCTTTC